CTGGAAGGGGTGACTTTGTGTATTTAGGTTGGCTGCTCTACATAATAAGGAAAAGATTCTGCTGGGATTCTGAAAACCACCATTATCTGCCATTATGGTGTCAGCCAGTCAACCAGTACTATGCAGTGGTTGAACCCGGCAAACACAAAATACCCAGAATCAGGCATTATCTCATACCTCAGGTGAAAGCCCTCGGATTGTGGGATTCCAATGGATGAATTTTAATTCAATTAGGCAACCAAGCATCATCGCAGTCCACCATTTCAACTGCCCCTGATGCTGCAGCAGTCAGTGACCTTGATGATGGCCCATTCAAACCCCCAACACATCTCTGCTGTGCAGAGAAGCAGGTTAAAACAAGGAAAAGGGTAGCTCCTCAGCATAATGAACAGCAAAACAAGAGGTGAGCACTTGATACTCCTGTACAGCAAGCACAAAGAACACTGCAGGTCCAGCCAATGCAATCACCTCATGATGCACTGGTGACAAGTACCAGGCCACTGGCCCAGGTAATGCCACCCCGTGTCTCACAATCGCCTCGGGATGCACTGGTGACAAGTACCAGGCCTCCTACTCTACAACAGACCCGGAGCCCATCCAGTGCCCAGGCTGGACCTAGCACGCCACATCCAGGCCCAAACCAGGTTTCCCATGCCCTGCCTGTACCTAGAAAAGTGCATATGGCAAATCGAATATTAGGTCCGCCGTCATTGCCTGAAGCTCCTGGCAGTGAGGCAGGGTCCATTGATTTGGATGGTAGCTTTTTCTTCATGCATCGTGATGATGGAAGCCACACCCAAATATCTGCACATGATGCCTTCCTGAAGCTCGACCAGCTCGCTCGACAGCAGTTTATCATGAGTCTCAACAATTGGGAGGTTGAGGAACCTGTTGAGCATGTTTTTCCTTCAATGTCTGCCAATGATGCAATGTTCAGGACTGCTGTGCAAAAAGTCCGTGATCTGTACAAGACATGGAAGAATTGAACGTTGACTGAGGCAGACTGTGTGTTTAGAGACATTGCAGTGATTGCAGGGGATAGACTGTCAGAAGTGTGAGATTTTAAGATACTGGGTGCGTGGTTGTCAGAGCATTTCCAGGAGTGGTGGCTGTCTCATGTCTTCCCATGGGCGGAAGAAGTTGTTAGATGGAATGAATGTTCTCCAAATGGGATTCAATGGGCCAGATGTGAGTTGTCCTCCAATTGCCCCCTTGGCTTTTTTCTAATCTATGCCATGCCAGATGTCTGTATACAGCTCATTGCACGGGCTAGGCTGTGTTCCCTGTATGGAAGACAGAATCAGCGAGACCCCAGGCTATGTAGATATGACCGTGGGTCACTTCTCAGCGTGTTTGACGGGCTGTATACATGACAGAAGGCTATGCAGATTGAGATAACAGTGCATGATTTTCCAATGTGTGTGGACTCAGTCAGGCGTTGTCAATGGAGACATGATACCATGGACATGAATGAGGACAGCAATGGGGAAGTCAGTGATGAGGCTCTACATCAAGAAGGATACAGCAATGATGATGAGCATGATGATGAGCATGATGATGACAACTATGTTGATGAGAATGGCAATTATGTTGATGATGGTTTGGGATATATACATGAAGATGAAGAAGTGAATCAGGAGACACTCACAACAGAAAATGACTTGAACCAGGGAGGTGGGAGATTATTTGAGACAGATGATTTAGAATGAAACTAGCTGTAATGAATGTTATTTGTTTTATATCATGTTACTTGTGTGTTCATATTGGGTGTGGTGTACTTCCTATAGCTCGACAGAGTCTGTATATATATATATATATATATATACAAATAATATATACACATGTAGATAGATAATAGGGACCTTTAATGAATGAAGCGCCCAACACTACCTACAACGACCTATCAAACACTCTATAACCTCATGTACGCTTTCCAGCAGAGCTCTACTCAGGAGTACATGTGATTGCCAGAATAGGTCTAATGTGGTGGACCGGGATGACGTTGTTCCATGGTGCATTTAGAGGGAGTAGGAATGCTCCATGCGCTTGAACTTCATCAACAACAAAATGGTACCGCGTAAACGGAGACTTGATGATGACGTTTCATGGAAGCCATCCCAGTCTAAACACCGGGGGCAAAGTCAGCATAATACTGGAGCCCATCGAAGTTCAGGTGACCCAGTCAGATTTCCATACATTCCTTGACCTCTCTAACCTTAGCAATCATCACAGGCA